ATATAATAGTTTTATGTAAAACTCCATTCACTTTGAAGATACAAAAGCTGAGCCCTTTTTGTTTGAATCAATGACATTGTCAGGACATTTGTATTGTCGCCGCACAGAGCAAAGAACAACCTTGTCATTGCCATAATTGCCTTGCAGGTAGGGTGAGGACCTCAGACAAATACCCACTGCCAGACTTTAATTATGACTTTCACTGGCATCTCTTTCTAAACTATAAGCCTTGCAGAGTTTTTGTCCCCAYTTGTCTGTGCTGGTATTACAGACATCTCTTTTTTTCTCTCTGAGTGCACTGTCATATTTCAGGGTTTTTTTTTTCTTAGTGCTTGGACTTTATTGAATACCATCGCCCATCTAGTCTCTGCAGAAAGATCACATGGGTCAGACTTCATGAACTGTTTTCAGAAAAATAAGATAACACCTTCCAGTGTAGTGAAGATGAAAACAAAAAGAATAGAAATGAAGGTAAAATATGGGTGGTAGGCTAAAAAAGACAGAATGACAGGCAGAGTACTGAAAAGCACATAGATTCCTGGTGAAAGTTTATGAATTGGAGATCCAAGAAAACAACAGAGGAAAAAAAGTTTAAAAAAAAAACAATTTGCCCGTAAACAGTCAAATACACACATTACCTAAAATGTGCCCATTTTACATCTTGCATTGGAATCGAAAATGGAAGAAAAGTAGAATGCATCAACAGCTAAACAATGCATTAATCTTCAACAGTTGTGTCCCAAACTGCACTGCTCTTCCATTGAATGTGCTGTCATTATTTCTTTTTTTTTTTTTTCGATTTTTGCCTTTAATTCTTAAAGCAAGAAAGCTCAGAGAACTTAAAACACAAAGTTGACTGGTATCAGTTGGCAAAGTAATGAATAAAAGTGCAAGCTAACAATAAAAAAAATCTGATAAAACTTTCTGCAAAGTAAGTTATTTGCTTGAGGAAACAATAAACCTGCTGGTGATACCACTATCAATCCCATCAAGATTAAAATCCTGATTAAAACTAGATGATGGAAATATTAATTAGTTCAATAGCTGAAAACAAAATTAACTTCAGCAGGACAAGTTTACATGTTGTTTTTTTTTTTTTTTTGCAAGTTCTTGAATATCACTAAGAAATGTATTTTATGTACATTTTTTTCTGTTTCTTTGGTTAATTTAATGTTTACAAAACAGAATTCATGAACACTGACTAGATTAAATGCAACTACAAAGTGAAGTGTAAAACTTAAAATCGTATTTAACTCAGGCTTAGTATACATACTTTAGAAGAACACAGCCGGTGCCACTAGGGGGTGCCGTCCAAAACACCTGAATACTGGTTCTCCTGCGAGGAGTGCTCTCTGTCACTGCTGGAGGACAGTTAGTCATAAACTGTGTTTCTTCCTCATCGATGATCTGTAAAACAAACATGTATATAGTGCCAAATAAATTAGGGATCAACACAAAGGTTTGCAGGAAAGACCTTAGCAACATCAACATATAATTGTGTTCATCGGTTATTACATCGTCAACTAAATTGATCTTTTACAGTCTACATGTATTCAGAAACTGAAACTTTTAATATAAATCACTTCTTGGCCTTGGTACTTGTCAATCTCCTGAAGTTTCTTTTTGATGTTTCTATTGCTTTCAATCACGGCATGTGTCACTACTGTTTTTTTACAGATACTTTCCAGCCATTGCAGTTTGTTTAGTCATCGTGTATTTGTCTTTCTGGATGAGGACATCCTACAGGAACCCAGTCCTGTCACTCTCCACCACTGCAGGAGAAGTCTTCCAGTTGAACTTCCCCAGCCCACACTTGTCACAGATGTTCCTGCACACTAGTCAAGCCTCTATGGCTGGAGTATTTGTGTATGCTTTGACTGCCTGCATCTTAAACCCTGCTATTATGTGTGCAGGACATCTCTGAGCAGACTGCATCTTGGGTCCTTTCTGGAGAAGTAGACTAWGGCATCCATTGCTGTTGTGCGTAATAGCTGTTCTTGTGCAGCTATTTTTAGTGATTCTGTACTGTCTTTTAGTGCAGCCTTCTTTGTCTACTGTTAGAAAGTCTTGGTATAAGAATTTATCGATCTGAAGAGCAGAGGCTTAACATTTTATCATAGCCCTTCTTGTTCCTTCTCTTCCAGATTAGATATCTGCAAACTGAGGCATTCAAATGATGACTGAATACGATACACATTTCCATAAGTTCTGTTCCATTTAATGTTTTAGGCTTTTGCTTATTGACATAGGATATCCCTACATTTGATTTTATTTTTGTAGCACATTCCTGATTTGTTTAGTTTAAGAGAAGTTTTAAAGCATTGAACATTTTTTTTGCTCTGAGCATCAAAGAGCTTTTGCCTTTTTTTACTCCATCTCCTCACCTGCTGAACAATGCTACAGCTCTTGGCTCTCTGCATTGAAATCTCCCCCTGGCATAACTCCATTAGCCAATTTATGACACTTAGTGGTGGACAAGAGTCAAAATGAGCAATGCATCACACCATATGGCACCTCCAAGCTGTGATGCACTGCACGTCTTAAACTCTTTCACAGCTAGCATTAAGATTTTTTTTTTTGCACAGCAGCTCTCGGAAAACATGACCAGCCTTTGCACCTCACAGCTGCTGGTTTGTCTTTGGTCCTCGTGAACCTTTAGCTAATTTACTGACTGACCCTAACCAATATCTTCAATCTAGAAAAAAAGTCTACAATGATTCAATTCCAGTCATTTGTTTTACTTCAGCTTGTTTGCTTTGGTCTAACTTGTGTGGTTTTAATTGTGCTTTATAAAAAAGTGACACTGAAATGGATTGTTTGACCTCATCTGTGGCATCATCCCATTACTCAACTGAGCATCTTAAAGTGTCCGTGCGATCAAATTGTTGTAATAAATATGAAATTATAGTTTGAGTTGATGTGAATGTGTTTCAATGCCAGCTTTCTCTGAGGGACACTGAGGAATTCCCAAGCCAGCCAAAAGATTTAATCTGTCCAGCCAGTGTTGGCTTTAATCCAAGTTTTCCTCTCTGTGAAACATGTCCTTAATGCCTCTGCTTGGACTTGTCTGAAARCCTTTCTGACCAGATGGTTGGCCCACTGTCTTATTTTTATATGAAATAGTAGCAAGGCCAAAACCTACAGTGTTATGTCTACCCCTATGCCTTGCCTTTGACATTTTTTAGTTGAAATGGGTAGTGGTTAAAATACTCAACTCCAACATGAAACACCCTGTCAGTTCATATGCATTCTCATTTTAATAAATCTTTTTACATTTGGATGTAGAATGTTCATAAACAGCTTGTAAAATTAGTGTTTTGGCTTGCAACAGACAATGAAATACTACATTTTGTTGTTCAATTTGTAAAAAGAATAATGCCAAACATAAAAAAAACTGGACTACATGAAATAAGCCAATGACTTGTGTAGCAATTTAATACTTTATCATAGTAATATAATGTGTTTTTACACATTTTTAAAGTGTGTTCATCATAATCAACTATAGTGCTGAATATTTCTTGAAAAAGTTTAATAACTAGACTCCTTTGCTCTTCCCAAGAATCATAAAAAGAATTGGGGATGTGAAGATGCAAAACCGAGTGGGCCTAACAGAAAAGAAGATGAAGTGAGATTCATACTCTCCAAAAGATGGAACTCAGTAGGGCTGGGCAATAAATCAATAACAGTACATCGCAATAGACATGTAATCAATATCACTAAAAAAAAACAGGAACAATATACTGAAATATATTGCACATTGCATTTTTCAGCCATACCACCAGCCTTAGAACTCAGACACAATTTGAAGCTGTTGCATTTGTGATGTATCCCACAGTTTGTTACCATAGCACAGTGTTAAAACATTGATTGGCTGCAGACTCTGCCTGCCCATCTCACACTCCATTCTTGTCCCCTTGATGAAAAAAAGATCCTGAAATATACTGCACACCRTGAGATGTTTCATTATTAATAATATCATTAATATTATTTACATATACATTATTTTCTGAGAGTCTAGGAGTTCCACGATCATGAAACTTTCTAGGAAATATCATCCGACTACAACAAATTAAAAAATAAAAACAAAAAAAAAACCAAGCTTTTCACACTTGCCTTGACTTAGAATAGGAACTCTAAATGCATGATGGCCTTTAGAGTCAAGTTCACACCTGAAATGCTAAGCATCTCAATGATTTTAACTGCACATAAAATTAGATGAGTTGTGCCAGTGAACTAATATTCACTGCCCGGGGACCAAGAATCTATTTGATAGGAAGTGACATCAGGGCAGTAAGGACAAAGCACTTTCTCACTCCATAAAGCTGTCAGCAGAGAATTTCCTTTGTCATGCCATGTTTTGAATGAGTTCCCTTTGGAAGTCTGAGGGTGTGTGTGTGTGTGTGTGTGTGTGTGTGTGTGTGTGTGTGNGTGTGTGTGTGTGTGTGTGTGTGTGTGTGTGTGTGTGTGTGTGTGTGTTCAGAGTCAGTCAAAGACAGAATGAAAACAGGAATGTGACTGCTATGTGTGTGTTCATGAACGTAATGTGTTTGTAGCCGATCTGGATCTGACAGATTACACCCCCACTTTCTAACATGTTCCCATGGTTTTTAGCAGGCATCTCGAGTCGGCCTGGTGGAGCATCAACTCGTGTTAAAACCAGTCAAGTCTCATGCTAATTTCTTAAACTCCATCCGTAAAAAGAGGCAACCAATTTGTTGCAAAGTGACCCATGACCCTTTTCTTCCTATCCTGTTTTCAAACCAAGGCTTTTCTGAGGGTATAAGGAAAGCAGAAAAAAGCGGGAAGCGTTCCTGCATAACTTTTTAAAGATCACAGTTTTGCGTATGACAAACAAGCATGTAGCTTTGCATGGCTTGCTGAGTAATGTACAATTAGGTTAAACATATTGTTACAAAAAGCACAATTTCCACACAAAAAAAAGTGTTAAAATGTATTTGCTGCCCTAAAGCCACATCAGGCTGGGTTCACCCTTTATGTAGCCACACAGTAATTTGCCTTTTCTTGTCCTATTATCTCACTCATGCTGAGAAGTAATGTCTCATCAGACATTGCCAACATTCCCTGCTGGTTTCTACACTTGCCAAAAAAACATACATACACACACAGTGGCAGCTGACCTCCCCAGAGAGCTCAATAAAAGTGCTTTTCATCAAGTCAGGAGCTGCTCTGAGGTGGCTGAGATGGGGCACACCAGCAGATTTCAAATGAGCTATATGTTAAAATAAAGCTTGGCATTTTGTGTTGCAGAAACATTTCTGTTTTATTTTTATTTTCCAAGATCGAATTATGTATTTGTGTGCTTTCAAGACATAGAAGACAAACGATCATAAAAAGATGATTCAGCAGCTTTTCAACAAGTTCTTTTTGAATAACGTTTTATTTACGTTACTCTGTCACTTTCTGCTGGCAGTGAGACGGATGATCATTCACGGCTTTAAAAAAAGGTTTTTAGCTTCTGAAACTCTGACAGCAGTCTAATCAAAGCTGGCCCCACTACTTTTTCTTTCTTTCTGCCAGCATCCAAAAAGCAATGATTACACATCTGTCTTTAAGTTCTATCATTCCCTGAGCTCTCCGCACTCATTCATGTGCGTAGCAAAGTAAAGGAACAATTWAAACTGTGAAGTTCTTTCTTTCTATACTTCTGATCTTAGGGACCACACATGCTGCTGTTTTGCTAAGGAACGCGCTGAAATCTAACTCAAATAAGACCAGATGCCAATTTTTTTTTTCAAATGTCAGAGCTGAATAATAAGATGTTAGGTGCATTCAGGACAAAAATAAAATACTCTCTTTCTTCATGTCAAGGTTCACAGAGAGTTCCACGGCACAGCAGCAACTATTACAAGAGCCCGAGGACTGCTGTGAAAACTTCCACATTATCTAAAGTGCAAGCTTTGTTTATATAAGGATCTTTAATGAATGCATTTTAGGTCCAAAAAACACCTATAAAAAGGCTGCACACATGCATAGAGGTTTGACAGCATGTATAGTTCGTGGATGCTGCTTCATATAGAAAACAGCAATTTTAGGTATTATATACATGTTAAACTTGCTTTATTGGTTTATACTATTCCCCAATAGTTCCCTGCTACTTCTCTAATGATGAAACTTAATCCCCAGTTGCTCATTTATTTTCAAGTTCTTGAAAATTAAATCTCTTCGTAAACAGCAAAACCTCACTTGTAAAATGTCCTAAAGAAGTAACATCTTATAAAATGTTGCTCTTGTTCTAAAGTAAAAATTTTACACTTGGTTTCTTATCTACCTGTTCACACATATTCACACAGTGCTTCTTCTTAAAAGCATTCAGCCCCGCGTTCTTTATCACATATTCACTCACCAGCGAGCCCATCGGGAGCAATGCAGAGTTCAGGATTTGGCCAATGGACACATTGACACGTGAAGGATCTGACAGATTTGTCAGTCTTCAGACTGATAGGAGAGCCATAATAAGAACCATATCATGCACTTCAGAACCACAGCTCTCAGCTCTATGCCTCAACCTAAACTACATAAACTTCATTTGGAATATTATTAGAATAGAGTATGATATAAACGTGACATTTGACTAAAGCTGCCCCCTTTATTGCATATTTCCAACCATAAACTCTCCTGYAACACTCATACATACAATCCACCAATTGATCTTTTCTTTAGCAAACACCACTTCTCACACTGCATTTCAATCAAGAACGCCTCACGTTTGTTCATTATCTCATTAGCATACTGTGTCTGCACCAGTTTTCCCTGCCTTTTTTTTTTCTGTTTGAACCCTGAGCTCCTTTCCAATCTTCCCCTCCTCCCTTTAACACCCCAGCTGAACCTGGGTGCATAAAACTCTAATTAGCCTCTGAACTGCTTTAATTGTACACTTCCTACATGCACGCTTGCTTGTGAATATATGATTAAACTCTGCATGGGTTTATGTCAACAAACTGTGAGAGAGAGGAAACGCAAATTTGAAGAAGAGCTCAGGGTTGTCTGTATACACATATGCTGTTAGAGAAGGGGGAGCTAAAATAATCACAGCCTGACATTTAAAGGCAGGAGAGCTTATGTGCCGCGTACTGGAGCCCAGAAGAAGGATGGTGTTGATATTACAGCTACGCCAGGTAGCTAGTGTTATCTCAAATTTAAAAATAGCACCACCATAGCACAGAATTTAACGACAGCAAACTTTTCTCTCTTTTTTTTTTTTTTTTTACTCGAACTGTGTTTACCAGCAGCTACAGACACTGCCATTAACTTACCTGGAAATTTCCAGTATAGTCGTCATCCTTGTCTCCCTCTGCACCCTCCTTTAGAGCAATAAGGGTAAACCCTCTGAAGTAGGATGGGGTAGATGCAGTCAGACTCACTAGATGGAAACAAGCAAGAGGGAACTGCAGTTAAAAGAAGGAAAAACTGCAATCCTCAGTCTGACTCATGACAACCAGGGAGAAATAGAAACATGTAAGCCTGTAACACTATAAAACAACACCACAGATAATGTTTATTATGGCTGCAGACCACCCCTGGCTGGCACCAACACAGCAGATGTTTACATTCTAATTTCTGTGCAGTTTCATCCAATGTTGTTTACTCACTTGTGGTGAATTTGTTTTTATCATATTTAAAACAATTTCCCTCCAACTTTTTTATGAACATATAAACATACACAAGAATACAATAAAATGTTTTGCAATATAAAAATCATCAGTCATTTTAGCCACTTGTTCAAAAGAGTGAGAAGTTTACACTTTTTTAATTCCTACATTCTTCAACATGCCTTTTTATCAAAATATACATAGTTACCCTGTCAATAATCATATACTGCATCTGATCTTACATAAAAAACAAAACTGAATGCTATATTTATATAAATGATATAATGATTTTACATGTATTTTGCTATTTATGCATGTACTCCATCTTCCATATAACTATTTCAATTGATTTCGATTGTTCCACAAAATCCCTCCACAGGTCAAATTAACATAATCTTATTCTGACATTTGTATTCACAAGTAACAATTTCGGGGGAAAAAAGCTTTATTATTAAAAAAATAGAAGTTCTACATTTATATTATGAAGCAATAAAATCATAAACCTCTGAGCACCTTCAGTGATTTGGACATAAGCCAAAAAGATTGATTTCAAGTATATTTTTAAGTGTGTTTAAGAAAGCAACAGCAACTAAAAAACACTGGCTTTCAAGCCATATTTTATTCAACAGAAATT